TATTCAAGCGCAAAACTGCCCATGGGTCACAGTTAAATGTCTAAAGTTTCCTTAACCGAAATGAAATACAACAGGGGCCCTACCTTATGGAATGTCAAAAAAACTTCCCAATTTTGTCATTTTTCGCAAAATTACGCAAGTAGGATTGTAAGAGTGATAGTCGCGCAGCGCCATCTCAGGATACTTTAATCATACCAAAATGTTGGCTTTTAAACGATACTCTTTCTAACTTCCTGCCAAAAGGCTGCTCTGCTAAATTATAATAATTACTCTTCACGTTTAATAATTTCTTCTTATTACCCTCATATGCCTTTATAAATTCAGTTCAGTTCGCTTTATTTGAGAGGAATGCAAGTGTGCAATTTTCAAGTCCCTATACGGTGTACGTGCGGATTGCGATATTAAAACATAGTACCTTAAATTTTGTCGCAATGATAAGTGACCCGAGCCAATCAGGTGTAGCAGAGATGAAGAGAGCAGTCAATGAAAAAATGCATCTTGAAAAAACTGTCATTCTTGGAAAAGGGAGTCGTATGCAGGATGAAAACAAGGACGACAGGAATGACGATGATGAGGCCAATTACTCCCCTACGGATTGCAGATTCCACCGACGAGATTGCTTAAACATAATGGTCTACCACGATAGACGACAGTGGGTGTCGAACAAAAGGAGGCCGCCTCGGGCCGCCTAGACAAGATTCAAATTGCGGGTGGTATAAGTATCTTCTGCCCGTTCCGTTACAAGTTTCTCTACTTATTTATTCTATCCTATAGAGAAAAAATGTTCTGACATATTTTGCATACGGTTCGGCAGAACAAAGTGACAGCATGTCTTGTTTGTCTGCCTGTATGCTCGTTTCTAGTAATTATTTTCGGTGGGTTATGTTAAATAACAATCTCTTAATAGTATTTCTCAGTTTTATGGCAAAAGCTTGACACATTCCCATGATATAATTTTTCAAACTTACTTCCCTCTTCTTTTCTCATAATTGCGCAAACCTCAATTTACTGAAAGTCAAACCAAATTTTCTGTTCTCTGAATATATATAATTAAAGAAGTTTCCGATTTTTATTAATGTTATTTTATAGTAGACCAAGCTCAAGGAAGGAGATTTTTGCGGTATTTAGTAGCGTATGAGGTTCAACAAACGTTGGAATAGGCCCCACATGCACCCGTTTTGCCCCTAATTTACTGATCTGAACCGAACTATTTGCTGATAAATAGCATTTTGCACCTGAAGTCAACTCATTAATTGAAGCAAACAATTTCAAATGAGTAGTAAATCAGCCACTCAAATTTTGGTTTTCACATTTCAGCACATATGCACTCAACTATATTTATGGCAGTCTATGTTCAATTTCCGTTTAGCTTGACTACATTACTCTTGGCAAATTTATGAGATTTATTTTGTTTTTTTAAAAGATGACAATCAGCCATAGTTTAGTCACGAAACTGAATATGGGCGTGGTTTTAGTATCTGATGCAGCTATATACATCATATAAACAATTCCATACGCGAAGTGATGCTTTCTCGAATTCTAGAAGCTTAAGAAACACTTAAGGTGTTTTAAAAACGCCGCTTGCGGACAGTATAACTGCCTTTACAATATATATGGGAATTCGTATGCAGTTTTTCTGTTGATTTACTGTCTATCACATTACAACTTTTCGAGATTTATTATATTTTTGCTAACAGATGACAGTTTGGCAACAAAGGTGGTCGTGTATGCACTTCGCCCTAAATCTCTGGAGGTGCAGTGGAACAATCCGGAACATGTTATGTCATCCTTGGCAATTGCATACATGGACAGAAGGCCAATCGCGACCTGTAAGGGAAGTGGGACGCCATCTTCACCAGATTTCTGTACCCTCAGTGACCTGAGGGATCATACAAAATATGCTGTGAAGGTTCAAGTGTGTGTGAAAAAGTGGTGGTGGATCAAACAGGCATGCAAGTACTCTCGAACCAACTACATAAAAACTCTTCCCTCAGGTAATCTCATGAAAATACAGAGTTGGCTAGGTTGTTTGTGATCTTTGCGATGAAGACTATTTGCATGGAAAGGCCTTCAGCGTTCTTTAGGGTTTGAAGGAAGCTGAGTGCAAGAGACGAGCGGGGAGCGATAAGCATGCTATTGTAAAATAGAAAGGATTGACGTGAGCCGCAAAAAAGTTGCTACTCACGTTTTATGACTTCTTCGCATTACTCTCCTATGCCGTTATAATTTCTGTTCAGTTCAGCTTACTTACGTATTGGGATTTCCAAAAGCAGGACCTCAGTTAAGGCTCTATACCAAATGGCAAGAGCAAAGGTGAAACAAAAGCAGACAGAGAAAGCAAAAGAAGAAACAGAGAACTCTTGCTCTTGGGTGTGACGGGTAGGGGACTTGTGGAAGATGCCACCGGATACTCCATTGTTTATTGTATTTTCCTATGCTACTTTATGGAAAATATGCTCAAAAATATTCTTCCTTGTATTTATTATGTACAACGTAAGGACTACCTAAAAGATCTCGCATAAAGTAAGTATATATTTTGACTTAAGATTATCTCTATTTATGACTGTTCAGAAGGCCTATTCGCGATGCCATGCTCTCCCAGTTGAGCTACAAACGCCCAGTGACTTAAAAAGAACTCTTGTTTCAGGTAATGTCATTAAAGTTCAGACTTGGCTAGACACAAATATGAAGTACTAACGCCAGCAATGTCTTATCTTACCAAACCATTGGAATCGCCCATTTCCTCTCTCTGGGCGACGCACCGCAAGGCCATTTAAACCAGTCACTTCCAAACACAAACCATGCCATCTACCCCGTAAAACCAATTTTACTGCATTTTTCAGCCCGCATATGACAGTCGTTCGCCGTCCTAATACCGATACCTGGGACCACAGTAGACAACAAATTGTATCCGTCAGTCTTGCCGCTACAGTGTCAACCTCCCTCTATTGTGATCACTCGGGCATGTTTCGTAGTAATCTGATCGAGCAGAAATGAAAGTGTGTTATCAGGGGCTCTGGTCAACCCCATCCGGGCACTTCTGTCTTGTTATACTGTTCCGGTACATATTAAGCTATCATACTGC